ATACTAGCCACGTGTGTATTTCTGCACTGGTACGCAATCTCGCGGGTCCTAAAGAATACAGCAATAACTGCCGTGACCTGGGGAAGCCTGCTTTTGCTGGAACAAAGGTAGCCCTATGGTCCATCATATTCTTCTGCCTTATCAAGGCAAATAAGTCAAATGCATTCAAACTTCTTATCTGCAGATAATTCTCTGCTAGTTACAGCTGTAACAACTTGATTACAGCCATTATGAAACATTCCTGGGTTTGGGGAATGACGAATTAGTTTGAAAATCAGCACAGGTGTCTAAACAAGGCAATAGTGTGTACAGGGCCTCCTTTCACATCCATTTTTTGTTATATGTGTGAACATCCTTTCCTAAGTGTACCACTCAAAAGAGACTTCAAATTCTCTTTTCATAATGTGAATTTGCTTGCAATTAGTATTTTGCAGTGAAGTTGTAAAACCAACTCTGTAACAAAGGTGCACCTCTTTAGTAGGTACTTTTTCCAGAACCGAAGCCATTTTCTAGGCATATTTCCTAAAAAGAAGGAAATAAAGGTATGGCTTTTCCTTGTTCGTGGTTGCAGAGACAAGGTGGTTGTCCTGTACATTTTTTCTTTATCTTCTGAAAGCTAAAAATGCAAAGTAAAATAGCATATTATATATGGTTATAATAATTCTTATTCCTTGTCGTGTAGACAGAATCCTGTTTGCTTGTTCCTTTTTTCTACCCTGTACTGGTATTTGCCAGATTTAACCATTCCTCCTGCTAATCTGGAGACAAGAAGGGCTGAGGTGGGTCTGCTGACTGTTGCAAGCTCTTAATCCACCTGAGCAAACCTTGACAGACCCATACATTTTGTAATTCATAGCAATTTGAAGAAGTACTCTAGTATGTGGCTTCCCAGATTGGAAGGACCTTGCTCTTGCTCTGGGACATAATACCAATGTGGCTCAAGGCTTCTCCCTTTCTTTCTGTTTTCTTTTTTTGTTTGTTTAGTTTAGTTTAGTTTTTTTTTTTTTTTTTGAGAATTAGCAAGTCATATCTTTATTTGTATAAAGGATGCAATGTCCTGTTCCCAAAAGCATCTCAAATCCTGTCTACAATAAATTCTCCTTTGCCCAAGATAGTCCATAATGGAGATTTAATAATAACTATTTCTTCTGACCTCCGGTAAACCATGAACCTGATTATCAGAGAGCTAAGGAGAATGTCACCGAAGCACAAGACCACGGCTGTCCCAGAGCAGAGCTGCAGCTTCTTTGTGTGTGTGGAAGCACCTGCGAGTGGAACAAGTGGTTTGTTTCATGATGTCCAAACAGCCTTTTCACTTCGAAGTTTCTATTTCTGCTAATGCCATGAAAAGGTGTATTAATTTTATGTGTGCCTTAAATTTCCCTCTGCAATTGCAGTATCTGTTTACTTGCAGCAGTAACTCCAGCATCTAGAGCTTTACTTTTCTTGTTCCACTTGCCAAAGTTCAGAGTTGATGGGGCAGAGGAGGGAGGAAAGGTTTCACTGCTGTGAAGTCATTTGACCTAAAATAAAATTTTCACTTTATCAGTACAGGCAGTCACGAGGCAGAACCTAAAGCAAGGTGTAGTCTCCAAGTTCCCTATTTTCAACTTGTTAATTTGGGCATACATTAAAAGACGCTTTCAAAACCGCTTCTTTCAGGATACTGAGAGCAGATACAAAATCTTACCTCTTCTCCCTCTCCTTCCTCACCCCCAATAATCCCAGCCAAAGGCTTTTTAGAGCAAATTTTATGAAGCTTGAGAAACCTGACACAGGCAAATGGGGGATTCTGTATCCTACTATATGAAAATAAAGGCATCTTTGAACATTGCCTAACAGATTTACCAAGGGAAAAAAAAAAAAAAAAGCATTTGCTGTTCAGTTGTATAGTGTCCATTTATTTGTTGCAGCCAAAAGATTTAATTATTTCAGTATGGTCAAAAGTTACTCTGCTTGGAAAGCAGCTATGTATTTCCCACCGCACCAAAGCTAACTAGGCTTGTGTTGTGACCGACTTTGCTTCATCAGCTGGGAGCTGTACGTTGGGCACAGCAATGCACGTTCAGGCCTAATACACGCAGAAAGTAGCTCAGAGGTTCCGCTGTATCTTGTCAGTAGTTATGCACTAAGAGCAAATAACTGTGTGCTGAGAGGGACAAGAAAAGGGGGGCGCAGCTTTGGCTGGAGAGTAGCTGCGATTTTGAATTTCACATGTTTATACAACTCTGGAGGACCAAGCCACCCCTTTCCCAAAATGCTAACGGAGGGAATGTGAAGGGCAGCTGCTGCTCATCCCCGCTGCTTCCCTGCCCCTTGAGTCAGGGCCCCCTTCACACCTCCAGACCTCAGCCACTGGCAGGTCTTGAAGCACTTGCAGCTGCCGGCTGGACAGGGAGCTCTGAGCTCACGCTGAAGGTGGAGTCGGGCAATGAGATAATGGCCCAGCCACAATGGAAACAGATACTTCATTGCCTCTCCCAAGACTTCCCTTGCTCCGCGAGGAAAAGGAAATCTAAGTGATCTTAAAGCATGGAAAATAACTGGAGAGACAGCACTTCAGATAACATTTTGTGAGGTTTTGCTAGGCAGTGGGATAAGTAGACACCTTTTCCTGGGTCCAGCGCAGAGCTACGAGGATGATCAGGGGCCTGGAACATCTGCCCTATGAGGAGAGACTGAGGGAGCTGGGCCTGTTCAGCCTGGAGAAGAGAAGGCTGAGAGGGGATCTAATCAGTGTCTATAAGTACCTCAAGGGAGGCAGTGAGGAGGATGGTGCTGGCCTCTTTTCAGTGGTGGCCACCGACAGAGCTAGAGGGAACAGCCAGAAACTGAAGCATCAAAAGTTCCACAGGAACTTAAGGAAAAATTTCTTGACCGTGAGAGTGACAGAGCACTGGAACAGGCTGCCCAGAGAGGTTGTGGAGTCTCCTTCTCTGGATATCCTCAAAACCTGCTTGGACGCAGTCCTGTGCCACGTGCTCTAGGTGACCCTGCATGTGCAGGGGGGTTGGACTAGATGATCTCTAGAGGTCCCTTCCAACTTTAATGATTCTATGATTCTATGATTCTCACTTCACAGGTTGTATCCATCACCTGCTTTGCATGTTGAGACTTTAGAAAATTAATTTGCAGATCATAGCAGAAATGAATGAAGTTATTTTGATTGGTCTTTGCTGAGATGAACTTTTGTCATCAAGCATAGCTCTCTTAAGTATTAACAGGCTCCTTTTTTTGGAAGGGAGTGGCGTTGTGTATGTTTACCTGCCTGCTCTCTGCCTGCCCATTTTAGGGCTACTTCTGATTTCAACATTGCTTTCTTATGACAAATGACTGTCTCAGTTAAAGCATTTTCAACATCTTATGCTATCCAGAGCCTCTAGGCTATGGAAAGACACTGCACGTCACTTTGCACACACGCCAAGTTTCCCAGGAGAAAGCTAGTTCTGTACCTTCGTTGACTCTCTGTGCCTCTTCTTTTATCTTCTATAATAGCTTCTGCATTGAAGATGCAATTTTAATTAAATTGTTCGCATCTTGTATATGCACAATACATTCACTTTGAGGACAATTTATTACAGTGGGAGTGTGGTGATATGTAATAAGTCTGAAGAATAATTAAAACCTGTGTTAACATGTGTACCTTTTTAATGGTGATTGAACTTTATGTTGAGTCTGTGTTGGGTCCAAAATCAGATCTTAATCAAGTAGGATAGAAGAAAGGAGGGAGAGGATGAGGAAAGGAAGAGTCAGTTGTGGGTTCCTGTATTAAATCTTACCAATTTGAGCTAAACCTTACCTGTTGTGTTAAAAGGTAAAGAGTGTATTTAGGCATTCAGCTCAACTGGCTGTTTGTGCTCAGCATTCTCTGAGGAAGAGACATAGGAGGTGGAGTAATGGGATGAACCACCTTTTGTCCCTCTGTATATGGATGTAGCTTTAGAGTTTGATTGAGACCACAGCAGTTTACTTTGAATGGGAAAATGCAAATGCAGCTTGAGAAGGCTTCAACTGCATCATGAAGTAGCAGAGCAAAGATTTGAATAATTAGGGATTTCTAGGAGAGAGTATTATAAACTGCTTTTCTCTTTCATCTTAGAGAGGTAGAAATACATGTAAGAATCGTAAGATGCATGATTTTGATTGAAACCTTTGAGTTTTGGCAAAATAGGCATTGGGTTCGGGTTTCTACAGCCTAGTTTTGGAACGCCAGAGCAGAGTCCAAATCCATACCTACAAAAGGTGAAGATGGTTAATAGTTTTTCCATTCCTGAAGACCTCAACATATGGCAAAAGATTGACTTGGCGAATCCTGGAAACACCAATAATTACCCTTCTCCTACTCCCGCCTCCCCTCAATATTGTAAATAAAAGTTTTGCATTCATAATAGCTTACTAGATGCAAAGAGAGATCATGAGAAAGGGACCTGAAAAAGGTCACTAATTAGAGTTCTATTACATGCAAACAGCTTTGTTAGCTTTGAAAAGTGTAATTTATTTTTCTTTGCTTCAAAGCATGGTTTTATGCTGGCTTGTACTAGTCTGGCTTTGCCAGGGACAGCAGGTGAATTAACAGTGGCTTTATCAAGCATTTTGTGATGTCCTGCTCACACCCAAGTCAAGCTGGGGCTTGTAACTTTTTTTTGAAATGGGTGTAATTCTGAAGACTTTTATCTAGTATTAAACCAAATTTAGGAACTATACTGGAGATTAAATGTCAGCTGGGTCTGAAGAGAGTCTCTGGAAGAGATCCATTTGGATAAAACTGGTAAATCAAGTAAGAGCTTATCTAATTAAAGAGACGTCTTTGAATGAATGTCAGAGCACCTGTGCTGCTACTTACTAGCTGAGGCAAATTTTTATTACTTCATAAAATTATTGTCAGTGAAGATACAAGACCAGCCTTCACAAAAAAAAAAAAAAAAAAAAAAGTGTGGTTATTTTGCAAGTATGAATAAAATGGGGAAAACCTGAGAGGGATGCATGCATTTCTCTTTCAGGCTGCTGCTGTTTTCCAAGAATGACTGTAAACTGTTTCCTTCAACTGTTTCCTTACAGGTTGTGTCAAAAGCTGCAGGACAAGGAGTTGCCATCACTGGGAACAACACTTTCAACAACTGGAATTGGCCTAACGCTGTGATCTTTGCTGCTACTGTAATCACTACAATCGGTAGGCAACTATATCAACTTTCCTAGCTGCATATGCTCCGGGGGTGTTTGTACTCTGGTGTTTCTGGGTCGTTCCAATGAATTGTGCACTTCAATTTCCAGATCATAAAATCCAAGAACAAAACTGTTACAAAATATTTCATTAAGTTGAAGCCAGCATGTTTATATGAAGTTTTTATGTGGCTGTCCTACTACTCACATGCACCCTATTAAGCTACTGAATTGGCTTTCAGAACAGTTAGACTTTTATTCCTCCATCCTTAAGAAAGCAAAGCAGAACAGGTGTACTGTTATAAATCTCACTGTTAATTTGTGCTTATAATATACTCTGCACGGAAAGACTTCTTCCTTTGAATTATTAAAGAGCTCAAAATCATCTGCATTCTGCTTTTTTAGTAAAAATCTTTGCTTACTACACCTATTATATAAGAAACAATAATGCAAACTAACTAGAAAAAGTTTGAAGTATGCAGAAATGGAAACTTTACTATTAAAGTGTATACAGTATCATGTTTTTCATATATTATTTTAAACTCATAATACCCAACTTATAATTTATCACAAAAAGTTGAAGAAATTAGGAACTGATCTAAATAAGAAAACTGTGGCAGGCTGTTAGAAAGTAGACTGAATTTAGAGCCAGAGTTGTAATGCATTATTGGATTCTGTGGCCAGCAAAAAACTAAATTCAGTCAAAAATACCGTATTGTTTCACAACGCATCATTCACTTCACCCACTTCTCCCTGTTTAGGCACCAGATCACGATGCAAATGTGCATAATGGATCTTGGAAGTGGAAGCTAATTTGGGGGGTAATGTTGAGCTATTACTGTCTAAGTTGAATCACAGGCTTTTCACACTCAGGCTTTTCACACTGCTGCTGGAGGGAGGGAAATCATGTCAGAGGCCTTGGGATAAATTTTATCTTCTATTTATCTCATCTAAACAAGAAAAAGATGCACACAATCCAGGAAACATTCAAAATGCAGCCTTCCTCTCAGTCTGCATTAATAGAATACACATCTGCTGGAGTAGGGTTGGAAGGTATCCAGATTCAGAAGATGAGCAGCTGGAGGAGACTAAAGCTTTTATGGATGGTGAAATAAGGAGCATCTGACACTTAAGCCTACACAGTGTTGTTTTATGTATAGGTAGAATTACCTTGAATTCTTGTAACAAGAACAGACCACGTACATACTTTACCTCTTTTAGGTTACGGAAATGTTTCTCCAAAGACACCCTCTGGGCGTCTCTTCTGCATATTTTATGGGCTCTTTGGAGTTCCTCTCTGTTTGACGTGGATCAGTGCTCTGGGGAAGTTCTTTGGAGGACGTGCCAAGAGGCTGGGCCAGTTTCTGACGAAAAGAGGAGTAAGCCTGGTAAGGGCCTCTGCTTGTTTATCCTACTGCTGTGTATTTTCAATGCATGAATTAAGCTTAAACTTCTTCACTTACCTGCTAATCTTGGTGGTAAGCAAACATATACATGAGTATTGGTTTTCCAAATGGTGTTGCATAGATATAACTGACAGCAGGACTAGGTCTTGTGGAATGTACATTCTGCCAGAAATCTTATCAAATTGAGGTCTTGAAGAAAGCTTTGAATGATGCTAAATATAAATATGGTAACATATATGGAGATAAACATTTTCCCTGTAGTAGAAACTGTAGGTTGAATGTAGATGAGGCTGTAATTTCACAAACATTCCCTTCAAGCATCTCTGGTATTGAATTGAGACGCGCTGCTTTGTTCCCAACCACTTTTTTGACAGCGTGAGCATTTCCTGCAGTATAGTGAACCAGAGGAGAAATGATGTTTTGTTCTGTGTTCCTGTGATTTTTTTTCCTTCTTTCTTTTCTGCTTTCTTTTTATTTCTTTCCCCCTCCTTCCTTGCCGCGTGAGTTTATTTCAGTTCTAGCTCAGTGCACAGTTGGGAGGCAATGCAGGGGCAGGATGCCTAGAAGAGGGTGGGGCTGGTTTGGGCTCTAATTTCACTAACAGAGCTGGCCTAAATGTTAATGCAACAAAAATCTTCTTGGTTCTGCACCTGAGAGAGTACAGAAATTGATGGTGAAATGCACATGTACATGCAAACTGTGCAGAGGTTACACAAGTGGCATAGGAGGGAGGACAAATAAGAGAAGTTCCCTAGCCCAGCTCCTGATCCTCCATGTTCAAATGAATAAAATGAAAATCAGAGATACTAACTGTGCTTTTAGACCAGAGTGCTATGCCTGTATACCACAGCTACTTATAAAATATCAAGAACTCTTAAACTTTTAGAATGCGTAACAGAGAAATATGAGGAAATGACCTGAAAACAAATAATTGTTTTTGAGTAAATAATTATAAGAATAGTCTGTTCTGCTTAAAGGAAAAGCCTTTACTTCAATGTTTACTTCAGCCAGTGACTTTTAGTTACAGAAATTTCTTTCCCTGAATTTTTCTTCTTCTTTCTTTACAGAGGAAAGCACAAATCACATGCACAGCTATTTTCATTGTTTGGGGTGTCTTGGTGCATCTGGTTATTCCTCCCTTTGTCTTTATGGTGACTGAAGGCTGGAATTACATTGAAGGTCTCTATTTCTCATTCATCACTATCACCACCATAGGATTTGGAGATTTTGTTGCTGGTCAGTAGTTGTATTTTTCTTATTATTATACTGTGTGGATAGTGTGGCAATTGTATTTTTAACAGAGATTTGGCAAAAGCTGAATACTGCTCTTATGCTTTGCTACATTGGTTTAGATACCTAAGCCCTTGGCCTTAGTCTGGAGCAAAGTTCTGTGGTTCATAATACTCTCAGATGCCTCAGATCCCTATTTGAGGCAAGGAGCTTTCCTATCCACCACAATAGTTAAGCACCATGGAATTGGATCCTGTATGCTGAGCAGGGAGCATCAGATGGAGGAATCTTCTCTGCGTAGCCATAAATGTTCAGTAAATGCTGAACATAGTGGTCCTCCCCTCTAAATAGTGTCTAGAATTCTGCTTTGATTAGGCCTTTGGAGATAATTCTACTTGCAAGGGCTACCAGGCTGAACCCTCTCTCAAGGAAAACTAGGGGCAGGGATGCTACGTGGATTTTTTTGAAGAGAACAAAATTCACTTTAGAAATTACAAGAGGAGGACAAACATGCTGCAGTTTTATGTTGTAGTGCAGTGGTTAGAACACATGAAAGTAAGAGGTGGAAGACCTGGGATCATCTTCTTCTGTCAGGAGGTTGCAGGTCCCCGCTTACTGCTTCTTAGATCAGCGTCCAAACAATCAGGCTCTGTAAGTGTGGGAGGGAGTGCTTTCCTGGGTAATAACTTTGAAGCCTTTTCAGTCGTGAGTCATCTTTCAATAATGTTCCTGTTTTGAATTCTTTATAGGTGTAAATCCAGATGCAAACTACCATGCCCTTTACAGATACTTTGTGGAGTTATGGATATATCTGGGCCTGGCTTGGCTTTCACTTTTTGTCAACTGGAAGGTCAGTATGTTTGTGGAAGTCCACAAAGCAATCAAGAAACGTCGAAAAAAAAGAAAAGAATCATTTGACAACCATCCTCGCTCTAAAAAACCCCTTCAAATGGGTACCTCAAAGGATGTGAACATTTTCAGCTTCCTTTCAAAGAAGGAAGAGACCTATAATGATCTTATTAAGCAGATTGGGAAGAAGGCCCTGAAGACAAATAATGACAAAATGATTAAAGTTGAAAATGTCAAGCAAAATATACAGAATGCCAGTAAAGATGCTCTGGTGATTTACACAAAGACCAAGTCATTTGAGTATGATGAGACTTCCCTAGATATTCAGAATGGCCATGTTCTGAGACACCTGCATGATAAACATGTTGGAGATAGCCCTCTAGAAGGAACAATGTTTGTAAACCAACTAGACAGGATCAGTGAAGAAGAAGGGGAAGTGTGGGACTCGAGAGACTATCGACCCTTGATCTTTGAGAATGCAAACATAACATTTGTAAATGAAGATGATGATGAAGAAGAGGATCTCACAGATGATGAGGAAACTTCAAAATCATCCATGGATGATAATCTTGTAGAGGAACCTGAGACTGCGAAAAAACTAGTAAAATTCCCATCCTCTGATGAATCTACCTTTACTAACAATGAGCTGGAACTTTCTGTGCCTTATGAACAACTGATGAATGAATATAATACAGTAAGCAATGTGAAGGCTGCAACGTGAAGCATGGTTGACAATGGTTTTCTGAAAGTGGTCAGTGCATACTGAACAAATTAATGGAGCAAGGAGAAGAGCACGTCTTGCATTTTCTTCTCTCTCTCTGAAAACAAAAGCAAGACCCAAACTAATATACTCCGGTGTGTTTTTGCCATCCTAAGTTGGCTTCTGAGCCCATAAGCTTTGCTTTTCTGTTATTTTTTTTTCTTTTTTTAAGAAAGCTTTTAAAATAACAGTTGGAGTCCTTCTCCTTCTTGGGATTTTATAGTTCCTGAACAAACTAGAAAAGAAAAGACTAGTTATTACACTGGACCTGCTCTGCGTTTGTGCATTTCATGGAGAAATTAGTTTGAGAGTAAAACTATACTGTTTTGGACAGACTGTTTTGGGCATCAAATGTGTCCAGGTACTCCACTAGCCCTTCACCTCCAAAAACCTGGATTTGAATTCTGCTTTGATCACAGATGGGGAAAAAAAGAGGAGTGTGAGATTTTTTAGCTGCCCATTGTTAGTTGCTACCCCCCAAAAAAAGGGTACAACTGCTAGTTGTTGTTAATGAGAAACTTGAGATGGAATACCAGGGCACACAGATCTAAGCTGAGGTGCATTGACAGACTGGAAAAGCTTTTAAAATATCTGCCTAGAATACATTAGTGCTGGTCAAAGGATAGTGAATAATATTTTTGTGAATAAAATATTAAAATTAAAAATTCCAAAGAAACGGATTGAGAAGGAGCCCTCTAACAAAGGAAACTCCTCTGGGATGAAGCTCACCTACTGGGCAGCTAAACTGCACATCAGCTCCAGAACCGTTAAAGTGACTGGAAGAACTATTGATCAAAGCATATACAAGCACAAGCAGGTTGCAACTTTATTTTTTTAATGTTGAAAGTGTCCTTCCACTGTCCATTTCCTAGAGGAAATACTTGAATGAACCTTATACAGTATCTATGTACAGGTGAAGTTTTAGTGACGCTGTTCTTCTGAGAAAAAAATCAGCTTTGGAGGAGCAAACACTCTCCCAATGCCCTGATGCCTGTCAGAAGGGACCTTTAGCACTGCTGCTCCAGGCAGTGTGTTTGTCAGTATTGTTGTTTGCTGTTCCTCCCTGCCTTGGTACTTCAGACTAGACTTGAATGAGATGGTTTATGAAACAGTTGGTTCTACTTTTTTTTTTTTTTAAGCCTGACCTGTATGTGTACAATGGTTATTCTATACCACTTTCAAGAAGGCTGGATAATGTCAGATTTTGTGTAAAAGTGATATGTAATTATGTGACTTAAGACTGTAAGGCACTTTGTTAAAGCAGACTTCAGCTCTGAGCTTTAGAAAGTATTATCAGTTGACTTGGAGGTGGGCTTCTCCTTGATATCGGGAAGTATATCATTTAATAACGTTAAAGGCCAAAATTTTGCCTATAAAAAAAGTATACCATGGTTTTTATTTTTTCTTCCTTTTTCCTCATCTATGGATTAATCCTGTCAACTCTATCAAATCAGGCTCTTGATCACATGCTGGCAAAAAGTACTGATTTCAATCATATCAAATATTCTTGGAACAGAAAATTGCCAAGACCTTTGAACTTATATGGCAAGTTCTGTTGTTTTGTTTGGTTTTACCGTACTTAAGTCATTCCAGTATGTCCTAAAGTTTCCAAAGTTCAGTGAACACTTGAAGTTGTCTTATTTTCATTGTCATGCTGGCTGACTCATTAACTTTGTAGGAAGGGTTTATGGAATCATGCAGTGCTAATCTTGATTTACTAAGTATTCTAATAACTGCGAATAGTGACTGCTGCTTGAATTGCTGGCCTCTCCTTCCTCGTGAGGAAGAGCACACATGGGAATCCAGCTCTCTAGCTGGATATCCTGTTGACAAGAAGTTTTGAAGACACCTACTGTGAAACAAGGGAATGATTTTATTAATTTCTTTTTAGGGGCTTACACACGTGTATGAGATTTTCAAATAGAAAGCTAACACAAGCCCAGGGCCAACTCTGGCAGAAATGTGGAATCAACATCATTGGATTCAGCAGTTAATTCATATTTGATGATAATACTGATGAAGGGAGATTCTAATTTGAAGTCCAGTTGCATTTATATTGCTGCCATTTGGAGTGGGGATGGCTGTCTTGATTTGAGTTCCCGCTATGAGGAAAGAGGGAGAGACCCTACTGAGAAGGTTCTGATTTAGCTCTAATAGATGTTCCCTCCTTCCCCCTCATTATTTTAAAAGTACTCCAATTCCTTCAACTATTTTGTTGTGTATGAAGAGTTGCGGCTGACAGCTCTACCTTGTAGCCACAAGAAATTGTAAGACAACATACATGATATAGAGAATGCTTGTGTAGCAAATCTAACCTTCACCTTAAAAAATGCATATTAACTTACAAGAAAATAAAAAAAGCACTCCATACATCTTTTGTTGTCCTTCAGCTTGTCTTCCATTATTGAAGCAAAGATCAAAGGTTTATCAGCAGATAGAAAGCTATGGAACAGTGAGGACAGAAAAGGCTGCCAGGTGGAAAAGCATAGCCAAAGCGTGATCTTCACCCCTTAATAATAAATAAATAAAGGCATCCTCTTTAATATAGAAATAATACAACCCAGACACTTGGCTGGGCTTTTTGACTGGGAGGGGATGTTGCACACTGAAATCCTCCATAGCAGAGTGCACTTGTATGGTAGAGCTATGGAAGGATGGGATCTGTTTCATATTATCAAGCTAGATGTGGCTCTTTGGCCTTTCCCAGTACAGTCTGCATAGATTATAAGTCTGCATAACAAGCATCATGGGATTTAAAGTAATGGTTTAAATTTATTAAAACAAAGTACAAAATTCCCACTTTTGGGGAGAAACATGATTACACCTCACAAAACTATTCTCAAGACATCCCACCATGTGCCTTAATGTAATTTTAATGCTGAGGGGAAAAAAAATCATCTCTTTGCACAGGGGCCAGCACAACTGGTATGTTGAAGACAAGCCATACTTGTTCTTCATTTTCTGGAAGAGTTTATTTGGTGCACAGCTTTCATACTGGCTCTCTACAAAAAGTTGAATCATTTCCCAGGGTTTTTAAAATTATGGTGCCATCTCAGAACATCTCAGAGTGCTAAACAAGACAGTTTTTTGCCTGCTTGTCTTCCACGTCTTGAGAAAAACAGCTGCCTGAGGAACTAAAACTAATGTTGTCTTTCTGCCTTCAAATTTACATGTAGTGAATTAGAAGAGTGTCCAGGCTGAGTTTTGAGCTATTCAGCCTTAGAAGTACCTGGGGTAATTTGGGGGAATTTCCCAATGCTATTTGGTAAGGTCATATAATTATTTCAGTTATTTTGGCAATCTGGAAACACTTTCTTTGGATGCCATTTAAGATTTCATTTGGCAAAAGAGCAATGTTAATAGCTTTTAATTCTAGGTAATTAGTTTTTATAGGTGAAACAGATCTCTCACTGGGGAGAGAGAGAAGGGGAGGGGTGTAGGTTTGTTTGTTTTAAAGCAAGCCTATAAGGATGTATCAAGAAGGGATGCAATAAAAGTGAAAATTCTTCTTTCCGAGTATTGTCTGCAAATATTTTTTTTCAGTCACATCTAGGCCATGATATTAGGGTTCACTTGCACAATATTGACTTAATTTTGTCAAGATGAGCCATTTTTTTTAAAAAAAAAGATTCTTTTTAAAGAAAAAAAGGTCTGTCTCTATGGTATGAATTTGCAGACTCTATCCTTCAAGACATCATTCTTACTTTTATGTCTTGTGTTATTAAAAACTGTTTTAGGGTAACCAGAAGGGCATCAGTAGCTGATACATATCTCATGGCAGGCAGTCTAACACATCTGATATATTGGTACGAAATCATGGAGGAAATACAAAGAAGTCTTGTTTTATGTTTTTTCTCCGCTAATGATTTGTGAATCTGTTGCTGGCAATGGATGTCACAAAACATGCAGAGATAAAACAACAGACTGATAACAGGTCTAGGGTGACACAGTTGTTTATATGTCAAGATATTTTTTTTTTTCTCCAGTTGATCTGGGAGAGTACAGGTAAAGATAGACGAGCTTTGCTGATAAGGAGTGCAAAAAGCAATATACAAGTCTGTTGACTTAAGCAGAAACCTAAGAACTCTGTCGTAGACTTGTAATTTTTGTGCCTCATGGGCTTTGTTCCACTTGTGATACATTTACCTTATAAAAACTTTGCTTGTCTTTCATACGGCTTTTGAAGTTTGTACAATCCTGACTCTATCACTCCATAACATGCCTGTTTGTTCTTTGTTGCTGATCGTCACTGGAATCACACTGTATGTAAATATTTGCTAAGTCTTTGTAAAATGTAATTTATTTTAATATTTTGAAATAAAAAAATGACAATCTATCCTGTCTATCATGAGAATGTTAACAACTGAGG